TTTCTTTCTTCTGCATGGCATCTGAGATTTTTTGTGTCGTTTACATTAGTGAATAGTCTCTTGAACCTTGAAATTACTGGTAGGTACCATACCACTTTCACGGGAGGACCCTTTTTGACCACCTCATCTTCACTAGAATCACCATCTTTCTTTTTGTAGCGTGACACCTTGCACTTCGGAAAATGATTATAGTTTACATACTCTTTTCGGTATAATATGCAGTCATTAGGGCATGCATGTATCTTTTCATACTCCAACACCATCTGACATAATATTTTATTCGCCTCGTAATAACGAATTGGCATTACGTCACCTTCTGGAAGTATTTTTGTCAATAATTCAAGCAATTCGGTAAAACTTTGGTCAGTCCACCCGTTATTCTCCTTCAGATTAAACAATTTTAACACGGCTGACAAATGTGCAAAATCTGTGCATCCCGGGTATAAAGGTTTATCCTTGTCACTGCATAAAGTATCATACGCATGTGCCCTCTGTGATCGGTGGGAATGAGAACTGACTGTTTTGGATATGCTGGTTCGCGTTTTGCGTTTGTTTTTGCAAAATGTCGCGGTAAGCAAGAGTCGCCACCGTCTTTTATTTTATCCAACAAGGAAAGGACAAAAGCACAGAAAAATTCCTTTTCGAGATGTTTCTCGGGTTCGGGAGGTAGATTATAGAAAGGGAAGGTGTTAGCACCCTTTCTATCTGTGGTTATTCACGGGCTCTTAGGTACTTGCTCACTATGTTTTCAAAAGTTTGCTTTTCTGTGTGTTTGTGGGTTTTGAAAAGAGTTTTTGTTTTGAAGAAAGTGTAAGTGCGAAAAGTTTTGTTTTGTCTTAAAAGGAGCAAGTACTTAAGAACATCTACCTACTCAAAAAGGAATTAAACTGTGCAAATGTCCTTTAGACAATGCTATCCCACTATTGAGGAGTAGGTAGCACCGTCGTTGGAGTTTTCAGGTCAATTCGATTTAAGGGACGTGTGGCCACTAAAGCAATGTTAGGACGCCTTAGCGGTAACCCTAATGTCTTAGATCATTTTTCTGAGGCAACCGTTTCGAGGCAACTTATGATCTTTGGACAAGAGGGCGACCTCTAAAACTTCCTATACTCAATGACCATGTTCGAGGCAACCAAGTGAGGCGTACCCTAAGAGTGGCATGTGCAAGTGTGTTGTTTTTCAGTTTATATTATCTTTGCACATGTTATGGTGAGCTACGATTGATTTTAAATTAAAGGTTAATTTTGTCATGCATAGCCTATTATTCAAACATCTAGCAGTTAATGGTTGCGGAAAATAAATTGCGGAAAATAAAACTAAGCTATTACAAGGCGTCGGGTATTTACATCGCCAAAAATAAACCCTTAAAATTAAATGCGAAAAAGTAAATAAAAGCGGTGAATAAAATCCTAAGTTAAAACTATTACATCCTCGGAGCAATTACAATATATGGATCAAAAATAATACGCGCGAGAAAAGCGAATCAGATTGTCTTTTAGGGTTTTGACCCTTTTTTCAAATAAAACATATTTTTTTGTTATTTTGGATTTAAGAATTAAGTCTAACTAATGATTAATCAATGAAAAAAGAAAATATTTTTTGGGTTTTATTTTAATTAAGGAAATAAAATTAGAAAGGTAAAAATATATCAAAACCCTAATTCTAAATTAATTTTAACTTATTGCAAAAAATGTTGAGATTAAACCTAATTAAAAACTAAATTAATTGGTTAATGGTTTATTTACAAAAATAAAATAGTAAAATTAATAAATATTATTTTTTGTGATTTCTGATTTTTTTATAAAAAAAAGGGTTAATTTGTTAATTGGTTGAAAAGTAAAAATAACGCAAATTAAACAAAAGAAATATAGAAAAGAGAAAGAATAAACCAAATGGGGGTTTGGGCTTAAACTTGGTGTTTGAATGGTAATTCCCAGGCTCAAACGTACTCCAACCTGTGTTGACTTTCAGATTGCCTGGGCGTTTGTTGATCAAGGTTCATGGTGAACCTCATCCTGGACCACTGGATCTGGATCTGGAACCACCTGGCGCATGGGTACCTGAGGCATATGGTGGACCACGTTTTTGCACGCTACGTGGGATTACCTGAAAACAAAATATATTAAAGTTTTGGGGGACCTAGGATTCGAACCCAGGTCTCATTGGACAATTCGACCGATGCGCTACCAACTGAGCCATGATGTTAACCTGTTAGTGGGATATCAATTAAATATTATAAAACAGACTAACAATTATTCCCTGAAAAATGCGCTAATATTCAAATGAGCCAATCACATTAGGACACGGTATCATCTTCTTCACCGAAACTCTGGTACGATTACCTGCGGATTTTTATCCGCGGGAAGATTCCTAGGATCTTTCCAAAATCCTCCCTAGGTCACAAAAATGGAATCCAAGAGTACCAATGTACTCGTCTCACTCCCCTGAACTCATCCATGGACACTATTGGCCTTAGTTTAACCTGCACACAGAACGCATAAAAAACATACACAAGAACCCTAGGTTCTGGATAGGGGGTTAGAGGCCACAAAAATCAAATTAAATAATGCAGTTTGCTTAGAAATTTAATGGTCGGTATGAATATGCAAGAGATTTGGCACAAGGATGCAGAAAAAACTGAGTTACAATTCTATGTGCAGAGCAATGTTCATGGAGACTTACAATGCGTTATGGGCAATGAAAAGGCTTCCTTTTGATGGGTATAGCACCACTGGATGTCAAGGAAGAGAGCTGTGTTTTGCTTTTGGTCTGAATTCACCTCTAAACCAAAATGTGATCACCACTTTTTCAAGGTTTTTTGCAAAACTGTTTTGGCCGTTTCCACAGAGTTTTTGTGTGTTTTTCATTGTCTGCAGAGTTTTGTGTGTTTTTTCGTGTCCTTTTTCTTTGTGAGCATGAGGTTTATATAGACAAAGGAATTTAGGTCAACATTTATGTATCAAATCTTGGTCCATTATGATGAAGAGATTTGATTTGATTTCTTCATAAAGACTTGCTATATTTGATTCAATCACATGCCAATCTATTTTCATGCGTTACTGCCAGCCTGCCATGAGTTGTTTGGGCCTCCAATATGATGGAAATCAAAAGTTGACCTGCCCCTTAAGATCCACTTACCTTCGAATTTGCTCTCTTTGATAGCTTCAATGTCCCAAATCGAACTACTTCAGCTTCAACTGCATAGCCCCTTTTCTTAAATGTCATATTTTTAGTAGTGATTATTGATAGATGCAATCATCAGAAGTTGCTTGATTAGAGATCCTCTGGAACTTCATCGAATATTACTTGATATTAGGTGTTGTCATCATCAAAACCACCAAACATCATCTTCCACTACCATTAAATCATTTGAAAATTATTGTTCCTATAAACAAATAGCTACATAATATATGATTGTTAGTGATAGTTAGAATGTTGCAAATATAACTTGCAACACAGACAAAGTTTCACAGTTTTTGGTTAGTTAGTTAGTTAATTAATTAGTGTTTTTGTAATCATATAAACAGTTCTCTCATTTCATTATATAAGTATTCTAATTGAACTTTAATAATATTTCTCTCTTTCTTTTTCAATTAGTTTCGATTCTCTCTTAACTCCCTCAATTCACAACCAACTTATAATACAAGTTACCCAACAACTTCATGTTCCGAAACATGAATGATGCATGATGGATGATTTAATGTTGAAGAATGCTATGCATGAGGAAAAGATAACCCAGCTTTTTGGAGAGATGTAAAATTATATCTCTCATCTTTGGCTCTTCCTCACCCATTCAATCATATGACAAGTTTTTTTTTATAACAGGACCACATATCACACACTTAGTTTGTTGGTATGAGACAATGGGCACGGAATTGCATAATCTCTCCTTTTATTTGAGTGCATTATTTGGATTGGAACATAGGGAGGAAAAAACATTACAAATTAAATAGGCGGCGAAAGGTGGATATAACATCATGTCGGTTGTAGAGAGGTGACAAGTTGTGGTATCATCATGTGTATTGCTTATGGATTTTTTCAATTATGTAGATTTCGGAAATAGATTGATCATCAAAGAAAAAATAAAAACACCAAAAAAAAATTAAAATATAATGAAGAAATGGTTGAGATTAGAGCTGAATGGAAACATGACACAAATAACAGGAGATGACTTTTATTTTATTTTATAATTACGTCGTTTATATCTTATCCATCATTTCTATTTGCTTCGTTCCTTCTTCAATTACTTCTATGTCTCATTAATTATTCAATTTATTATCATGAAATCTTCTTAATACTTTCATGCACTCGATTTTTACCCATGCCCCCATAAAATATTGATTTTATTAAAATAGATGTCATTACAAATTTTTGTTTAACTATTGTACCTAATTGGTTAAATTTTTTTGACTTAATATCTAATAATTCTTCTAAATCTTGTATTGTTATATTCCTATTTTTTTCTTAATTAAAAATATTTTTTAACTGAGGAAAAATTTCTCTAATTCATATCTTCATTATTTTCTAATGTTTCTTGTACTTTATTGGTATTTTCTATAAATAAAGTTAAATTTGTATACATTTAATTTTTATAATATCATTATTTAAAAAAATGTTGGTCATTAGAACTTTTTCTACTGGTGAATTAAAAACAAATGAGAAGTGGTAAAAATGGAAGATGTTATCTATTTCTTCAAAATGTTTGAACTAATTAATTAACTTGTATATTGTATCTCAAAAACACCAAACCAATTATACAATTTGCCAGGGCAACTAGAGTACAACCAAACTAACAAGATTACAAAAAAAACAACTTCAAAACAAAAACAAGACATAAAAAGGAGCATATACATAAATATACCCAATGTAATATATTATATTTTACATTGAAAAACAGAAACAACATGAGTCAGAAATAACAATAATTAGGTTATCCTTAAAGTAGGAAACAAAGACAATAATTCATGTGTGTGAGTTTGATATTAGGTGCATGATTTGGTTTAAGTAGTATGAACGAGAGGATTCTCGTTAACGAAATTACCCGGTGGATCATACTCACAGGCGATAAGCATCCCAGTTCCAACATTCTTGCAATGCTGCAACGCACATCCAACATGCGAAGAATCCCTCCAAACAATCTGCGTAAAATGTTCACAAAGCTTCGGTGGTGGCGCGCATTTTAACGTGTTAAAATCGAACGAATCTTTCTCCTTGTACCAGTAATAAACCGCATCAGAAGGTGTCCAGTGCAGTTTCTTCCCCCAGAACATGTTCTCGCCGTAATTCGCAGAAGAATGAACAAGCTTACAATCTTCGTACCTTTCCTGGAGATATTTCTTCGCAAAGTTTGCGAGCGTTTCGCTCCATTCTAATGCGGGGAGCTTGTACTCCTTTCTCACCCAGTTGTGCGCGTGCATGAACTCCTTGGCTAATTCGGTTTCGCTGTGGAGATACATTGTGCGGTTTACACGTACGAATCCGAAGAATTTGGCTGCGTTGCGACGACGGCGACCATGGCCTCCTTTGGTGCGTTTAGCTGGTAGTGTGGCGGGTGTTGTTGGTGTTTCATGGGCGGGGACGGTGGAGATGACGGAGGAGATGAAGAAGAGGAGAACGATGGAGAAAAGGAACGTACGCATTGTGAAAATTGGGGACTCGTGTTGTGCGAGAGCCCCGGTTAGAAATTAAGTGGAGAAATTGTTGGGTTTTATATTTGTTACACTTTATTACCTTTCAAAACAGAAAAATGTCACGATTCGTTTGTTGATTTAGGATTTTTACGGTCTTAGATTTCATTTTGCTATTTTTAAATTAATGGATGGAAATTAAGAGGGTTAGTTATGTGTGCTATTTGGTAATTTGAAGATTAGCTAAATGGTATTATAGAAAGGAAAATATAGCGTGGTTTTTGGATGTCCGCATGACACTGGTCTATCTATAGTCAAAATATGTTAACTCATTTTCTTCTTCTTTTTTTTTGGTTTGTAACATATGAAATGAAATGGTTGGAAGATTGACTAATTGATCATTCTTCATTATTGGATTAAATACTTAAGAGAAACCTATGTAATTAACAATAGTTTTAACTTTCAATGATAAAAATAGATTGGATTAGTTTTTCTTTTAATATAATATTAGGAGCCGAGTCTAAATCAACGTTAACAGAAGTCGTAAGGGAGAAGACTGCAGCTAAGATGTGGGTCAAGGTTGAATCATTATAGATGATAAAGTCATTGGCTCATAGGATGTATATGAAACAATAACTTTATTCTTTTCTTATGGTAGAGAATAAATTTGTTGTGGAGCTGCTAACAGAATTTCACAAGATTATTGATGATTTGTAAAATATAGATGTGAAAAATTAAAGATGAGGATAAGGATATACTCTTGTTAAGCTCATTACCCAGATCCTTTGAGCACTTTAAAGATGTCCTTCTTTATGAAAAGGATTGAACTATCATTTTGAATGAAATCCATACGGCCATAAGATCAAAGGGGTTATCAAAGTTGAAAGATTTAAAGGGTAACAATAATGGTGAAGACTTAAGTGTGTCAAGAGGAAGGAGTAAGAGTATAAGACACTAGAAAGAAAAGAGATATAGGTCAAAGTCCAAGTCCAAGCTTTTTGATAAGTCAAAGTATAAATGCTTCACTTGTCACAAAATTGATCACTTCAAGAAGAATTATTCTGAAAAGGGGAACAAGGTTGATTCTGTTTAGATTGCAATTGCCTCAAACGAAGATGGCTATGAAAGTGTTGTCGAATTAGTGGTAATAAGTTTGGAATCAGAGAAGAGTTAGATTATGGACTCAAGTTGCTCCTATCACATATGTCTAAGGAAATATTATTTTGAAACTTTGGAGCTGAAAGACGGTGGAGTTGTTTGACTTGGAAACAGTAAGGCTTACAAATTTAATGGTATCGGTACAGTCAGACTGAAAATGTTCGATGATTGTGAGTTTTTTCTATGAAATGTGAGGTATGTTCCAAACTTAAGCCAAATTTGTTGTCCAAAAACACATTTGATGATCTAGGCTACTGCACTAGAATTGAACATGGATGTTGAAAATTTTGCATTATGCATTATTAATGGCTAAAGGATTCAAAATGTGTGAGTTGTATATTTTGGATGGTTCCGTTGTTATTGGTGATGCATTAGTAGCTATTTAAGACCTTCTTGATAAATATAACTTATGGTATTTGAGATTAGAGCATGTCAGTAAAAGATATTTAGTTGAACTTGCTAGATAAGGTATGATATGGCGTGATAAATTAAATAAACTAGATTTTTGTGTTAATTGCATTATAGAAAACAACACAGGGTGAAGTTTGGGAGTAATGTGCATAATCCTACTAGACCTTTTTAGTATGTTCACTTAGATCTATGGGGTCTAGCAAAGGTGGAAACTCATAGGTGGATTCTATTTCCCCTCTATTATTGATGATTTTTTAGAAGAGTGTAGGTCTACATTCTGAAAAGTAAAAGTGACACATTCGAAAATTTTAATGAATGGTATACTCTTATGGCAAATCAATTAAAAACTAATCAGAATGTATTAATAATTGACAACAAGTTGGATTTTTTAGAGCAGTTTAATGAGTTTTACTGAAAACACGGTATCAAGATGCATTGAACCGTTGTTGGAACACCTTAACAAAATGGCTTGGCATAATGCATGAATAGAGTCATTTTGGAAAGAGTAAGGTGTATGTTGTTGCGTTATGTGTTACCAAAGAGTTTTAGGGGTGAAGCTTGTTAAACTTGAGACTTTACACACAAGAGGGAGCGAATTGTGTGGATTGGAAAAACTTGGTTTTGAAAACTTTTGGCAAGTTAAATCAAAGTTTGAAAAAAAATTCTAATTCTAAGCAGCAGAAATAAACTATTTAAAGTGTTGAAATTAAAAAGTTAAATGAAGAAGAAGAACACTAGGAATTATAGAGGAACTATTTAAAGCGAGAAAGTGAGTGTTAATACACAAATTCGTGTTCTGGATGATTTGAAACGAGAAATAGAGCCTCTATTTATAGACTCTAGATTCTCCAAAAAAGGAAATAACATTTAAATCAAAAATCTATTATTTAATCGATTTGAGCTTTTTCTAATCGGTTAATTTTTGAAAATCAAACGTATATAAGTTCCTAATATGGAAAAATAAGATATATATATATATATATATATATATATATATATATATATATATATATATATATATATATATATATATATATATATATATATATATATATATATATATATATATATATATATATATATATATATATATATATATATATATATATATATATATATATATATATATATATATATATATATATATATATATATATATAGTTGTTGTATAGAATCTGGATGCATTTATCTTGTCTTGCGCCTCAAGTTCGCGTCAATTTAATCAGTTAGCATAATCGGTTAAATATATTTTAAAAAATTGTTTATGGATTTTGACTGTTGCCATACTGTTCTATACAACTTCTATATATTTTTAAAAGTATTTTCTTTTGGTAAATACTTTGAGAATATTTGTGTGTGTGTGTGTGTGTGTGCGCGCGCGTGCGCTTATAGCCATATACTTCTATGAAAAACTCCATTTGCTTTTACATAGTTTCACCTCACTTACTAATTTAAGATATTTTCTCTAAGCCTTTGTCAATTGTAATCTTTTTGCGTCGAAACTTGCTTGAGATCTCTTGAGACTTTTGATAGAATCCAATTTGTTTGCCTTTACCTTATAGTCATGTTTATCAAACATTTATACGCATGGCTTGGGTCGTTAACCTCTTAAGTGCATTATTTGACTTATCATTGGTTTCATTTTTATCATGATGGATATCTCTGTTTTTTTCTTTATAATTTTCATCATCAAAAGATATTGTCTTGATTAAAGGTCTATTACCTGTAAAACAAGGTTTCACATTCTCCCCCTTTTTGATGATGAGAATGCATCTCTCATGGGATGTGGTAAAAGATACAAGGTATATTTGGAGTGACAAACTCCCTCTACGTTAGATAAAGTATATACCCTCTTACTGGGAGTATGCTTCTCCCTCTTGGTCTAAATCAAAAAGGTGGGTAAATGATGCAATTGCGAAAAATCTAAATATGCAAACATTTATTTAGAGAAGAAAACAAAATATCATATTTCATTTTTACTTTTGAGGTAACTAAGTATAGGAACTTATAGCGACATAAAATATCATTATAAAAGATAATAGTCAACAACATCATATATAAAGTTTTATTAGATGTAAACATCGTATTAAAAATGTATTTTTACATTCTACACACAAACATGTCATAATAATTTTAGTGAAGAGAAAATAAACATTTATTTCAAAATATTTTTCAAAATATGTCAAGCAAAGATAATTAGGCAAAACAAGGATTTATTAGATGTTTTTAAGCACAAAATATTAATATCATGTTTGAGCTTATGTGGAGCAAGATAAAGGTAGCTTTTAAAGGTTATGCAAACAAAAGGTACCAAAGACATTTAGGAAAATAAGGATATACTTATATTATTTAATTTAAACTACATAAGGAAAATTCAGTACAAAAAGGGAAAGTGTAAGACAAGAAATTAAAATACAAGAAAATAAATGAAAGGCAAAATAAATATTCAAACGACTCCGTTTAATTTCTTTCCATCTAATTTTAAGAAACGACATTTATTTTTGTAGTCGTGGCATCTGACGTGTCTATGTTTTGCACGCATGGCACATTATATGGCATATGTTATGACAAAGGTCTGATAATTCCATAAAAATATTCCAAAATTTTTCCCACACCAGGATTTGAACCAATTACTCCTTGGTTGTCGTACAACATATTTTAACATTGGACCATATTGTTCTTCGTTAATATATTTTCCTGTTGCAACTACTTAACCAATTTTGATTTGGAACGCTACATATATGTTATGAGTGCTCCTATTCCAGTAAAAACCAGTATATATTATGAGTGCTTCTGTTCAAGAGAAAAACTCACTTTTATAGAGTGTTCAAAAGCAAGTATTAACAGAGTACATATTATTAAAAACTCACTTTTGAGCCTGATTTGCTGGCATTTGTAAAATCTTGGTTAATGGTGGTTGTTTTTTTGGATGATTATATAGGTTATGGGTGGTTTGGTTGTTGTTGACTCAACCAAACACGTTTGCAATAGATCACATTAATTTATTAATTCCAAGTGCAGTTTAAATTTTGAACTCATAATAAAATTTGTATGTAGAAACTAGTTGGGTTATGACCAACCCCAACATCAAATAACACTCATTGAACTTTATTTCCTATATGCTAATGGAGTATATTTCCATTAAACGGGAAAAAAGGTTTCATTAGTAAATTTGAAGTCTATCTTGATTGAAAACTTATTAAATGATCTTTCAAAACACCAAAGATCTCTAGGAGATTCATATATACAAACAAGGAACAAAAGAGTGAAGAAAGTGAGGTTGAAGATGTTTGCTAAGTTTGGATCAGAATCAAATTTTGGAATCCTTATAAAAGGTTTGTTTTTGTTTGAACCATAATGAAGTATGTCTTGAATGAAATTAACAAAGAGATTTGAAATGGTTTCTTGGTCTAAGAAATTGATAGTTTTAGAGTTTGATTTAA